GCTCACTTTTATTTTTTTGTTGTGAGAACTCCTTATTTCCTCACAGACCACAACATTCATTCCAAAGATGTTTTGAGGTGAGTGATACACAGTAATGTCTTTCTGCAGGAGGTCAGCAGGGGTGTGTGCTCCACAGAACAGAAATGGGATGAGTGCACCTGGCCCTCAGGCTGAGCCCCACATGCTCCCCCATGCAGATGGCCCCTTGTGCCTGGGGTGCCCCTGCTGCCCTATGTGCAGTGTCCCTGATGACCCAAGCATCTCGTGCTGCTCTCTGTACTCTCCTCCGTCCTCCCTGGCTCCCTGTTTCCTCAGTCTCATGGTTTAAAATGTCCTACAGAGGCAGAGGATCTCAGATTTAAACTCTAAACCACCTGGCTCCAACCATGTATCCAAACACCTGCACTGCATTTGCTCAGGATGGCGAGCAGAAACCTTGTCCTTGCTATTTCCAACATCGGGGGTCTGGTGTGCAATTTCCAAGCCCGACCTCCTGTTCTTTCCCCCTCACTAAATGGCAAAGTGCCACAGGACCCCAGGGTGTGGCCTGTCTTCGTTTCTCCTGTATCCTACATGCAGCCCATGAGCACAATCTTATTTCACCCATGCTCCAGATAGGCTCAGAATCCAACCCGCTTTCACTTCTTCTTTCTGGTTGATTTCCAAACAGTGAACAGGAAAACTCTCCTGAAAGCTAAATTGGTTGCAGCTGTCTCTGTATAGCGCCTCCACAGTGATGTCTCACTTTGGGGGAAAGTTAACCCTGCTCGGCCCGAGACTCAGCCCTGTGTCCCCTGCGGCTCCCCTGCTGTTCTCCGGACTTGCCAGCCTTGTCCAGGTTGAGATGAGCATCACTGACCATTTTGCTCAGAGGAGCAGAGCCTCCCTCACCACCAGGTTCAGTTTCTCCACTGCCTGTCAGAATTTGAAAGGCTACCTTCTCACTTGTATTGCTTACTGTATATCTTACCCCAGAAGACTTAAGTGCCTTGTGTTCGCTTTTATATTCCCAGTACTGAAAACCATGCTTGACTTGCAGTATCAAGGGATCTCTGTTAAGGGAGGGATCGATGCTAGATGGGTGGGTGAGTGGGCGGGTCGGTTGATGTTGGATGGATGGAAGGATGGATAGATGGGGGGTAGGCAGGTGGCTGAATAGGTTGGTGTTAGATGGCTATATTAATTAGGTGGTGAATGCCTGGATGGATGGATGGATAGATGAGTGTGTGGGTGAGTGGATAGATGCATTGAGTGGATAGATGGATGGGTGGGTGGATGGATGGGTGAATAGGTGGATGAATGAGTGGATGGATGGATGGATGGATGGGTGGGTGGATGGATGGGTGGTGGGTGGGTAGATGCATGGAGGGTGGATGGGTGGAAATATAAATGGATAGTTGGATGGATGGGGATAGTGCCCTGCATCTGCCCTAGGACAGCAGTGCAGGAAGATTTAATGTACCTGGCTTCTGGGGCCATCAGTGATCAATTTCCCCATCTCTAGACTTCCTATCCCCATATTTGTTGCTATTGAAGAAAAAGAAATTCTGATATAGTCAATGCAATATTTTTATATCTCCTGTTAATTGATGCTACTTGCAGCGGCAAAACTGTTTAAATATGAATTTTCATCATTTCAGAAGGAGTTTCTCTCCAGCCTGTGCTTGGGAAGGTGAACAGAAGGGAAAGAAGGCTGAGCCAGGAACAAAACTCAGAGCACTTCCCCTCCCTCAGTGTACGCTTGGGAAGCAACACAGCAGGCCTCTCCTGATTTTCTCTGTCAGCGCACTTTCCGGGGAATAAATGTAGCATTAGGTGTTAGAGGCAGGGATATGTAGCAATGCTCCTGGTGCCTTCAGCTTGTTTTTCCCTAATTCTTGTTTCATGGCAAGCACAGCTGATCGTTGTATGGTCTCTTCCCAAGGTCAAACTCAGAGCACCTGGCAGACTGCTGGGTCTGAGAGCAGGACCTGTAACCTGTCATGTAGGTGATCCATCCTGGGCCTCCCAGGGCAGTCATCCAGCCGGACCTTTCCCAAGGGACCACTCGTCGGTGTTTACATTCTGAACTGGAAGCGGCCGTTTAGACGAGGCCACCTTCAGGACTGGCTCAGTGCACGGCATGGGGTGGCAAGGACAAAGGCAGTGGGGCCCCTCCCAGATGACCTGTGACAGTCCAAGCTCAGGGGAGCAGCCTGGGCTCTGGCTGGCGCCTCTGCTTCCTTCTGTCCTGTGCACCTGGCTCCAACCTCCCCATCATCACTTGTGAGGTGGCCTCTGACCGAGGGCACAGTGGTCATTGCCACTCGGGGAGCCTGGGTTCTGTGGAGGGTTGAGCCTTGCTGCTGGTGGCCTCGGTCCGTTCACGTCCCCAGCCACTTCCTGAGAAGTCTGGGGTTGGATGCTGCTCACTGCACACCCTGGACACCATGGCCTGCCAGGCATCTTGGCCCCAGGTCTCTGTCTGCCCTCTGCCCTGGTCCCAGCCCCAGGGACCTGGCTGCAGAAATGTTTGCCAGTGGCTTGTGAAACAGATCTCCATTGTGATCCAACTTTCCGTATGAATAAGCACGTACTGCAGGTGATGTAGGTGATAGGGCTATGGTGACTGAACCCATCATGAGTTTATGGTTTCCTCTGTCTCATCTACATTTTTAAAACAAAATGAAATCACTGTTGTGATTTTTGTATGCAGACATTTTAAATTAACTCTCAACTTTCCAAGTCATTGCTTTTCATCATCTCAGATGAGCCCCATTGCGCTGAGGGGGCGCCAGCCTGAGCTCCTTCAGCAGCCCCTTTCCGGGGGCCTCTCCCTCTCCATGTCCCTGGGGCCAAGCTGGAGCCCTTGCCAGGCTCCTGTGTCCCTTCTGCACCCTGCATGGCCTTGCAGTCCCCCTGTCCTCTGCTGTGGTTCCTTCAGTGACAGCAGGTACAGCCCTTGAGACTGAGCTGGGTCACCCCGCTCTGGGCAAGACAACTCAGCTCTCTGAGCCTGTGGTGCAGACAACTGGATCAAACTCCTCCTGCACCTGGACCTCTGGCTCCAGCCTTCTTCCTCCTCAGCGGTGTCCCTGGTTTTTCTGCTTAGAAATTTTGTGCATCTCTCATTTTGCCTTCTTTCCTTTTGTAATTATTTTAATTGACAAATGAAAGTTGTGTCTATTTATATGATGTTTGGGGTTGGTTATATGAAAATTGTGGAGTTGTAAAATCAGACTAGTGTATGCTTCATTTTCTATGAAAACATAAAATAACAGCTGGGCCTAGTAGCCCACTCCTGAAATCCCAGCACTCAAGAGGCTGAGGCAGGAGGATCGCTGTGAGTCCCAGGTCAGCCTGGGCTACATAGTGACATGCTGTCTCAAACAAACAAAAAGTAAAATAAACTGTCGCAATCCTTGAGACTACAGCACCCTGCTTTCAGCCACTGACCTGCACTACAGATCTCCCCTCTCATCTGTTCCCTGTGTCTCTTGCTGTGTCCACCTGCGGGACTTCTCCACCCACCCAGACAGCCACATTCCTACCGTACCACCTGTTTCACTTTACAGTTATCGGTCGGGGTCTAAGGCTGTTGCAATTGCTTATTTTTGTCTTTGGGAACTTGTCGAGCTTTCCCTTCACTAGGAGGCCTCCTTCAGGTTTCCTGGACAGAGCAGATCCCCGGAAGTGTGTGGAAAAGCAGCACAGTACCCAGGGCTAAGGCTTCCATGGACCATGCAGAGTTCTCTGAGGAGTAGACCCCTCCCCAAGTCCTCAGCTCCATTTCAGTCCCCAGCCACAGCCAGGCCGCTGGGTACAAGGCTGCAGGCTGGGAGCTCCGCCCCTGGGCCTGGGTCTATGTCCTGCAGGGAAGGAAGAGGCCTGCCTCAGGTAGTTGTGGGCTCCACCCACGTGGTGTCACTCAGGTGATGCCTCCCAGTGTAGACAGAGGTGCTCCTCATGCTCATGGTCCTGTCCACAGCCAGCTGGGAGCCTGCACTCGCGAGGACTCTTCTGACAGAGAAACACAGCTTTGACAGCTGGCATTCACTGATCACCACAGGCTCAGCATCTTCCGAGTGCTTGGGGTAAGCACCAGCAATGGGAAAACCGACAGAGGCTGGATGAGCTGCTCAAGTTCACATACAGGGCTGTTCCAGACCCATATTCTAACTGATGTGCTGCATGGTCAGGTAGTTACTGCATCATCCAAGAAGGCCAGCCCCTGCCTGCAGATGTGGAGGGGCGGCGCCTTTCCCAAAGGTCATGGCTGGCACCATTCCAAAACAGAGGTCAATGAGAGCAACGCAGAACACAGAACAGACTGGATGATCACTGCTGCGTATGACAGGGAGCTTCAGATTCAAGACCTAGGACTCTGTTTGCACTCACTTCCCAGGAGATAGACAAAGATCTCACATGGTGGTAACAGACCAGGGCCCAGTGAGGCGGTACAGAGGGTGTGGCCAGCTCCCAGGCAGGAAGCAGGAGGGGCAGGGAGAGGTCAGAGGAAGATCTCAGGCTTTCTGGCCAACTTCCAGGCCAGGGGGATTTGGGGCCCGTGGTTGTCTGGGGAGGGTGGGGAGCAGGAGGCCAAAGGGTGGCAGGACCTTGGAGGGAGACTTTCCTCTGAGGCCTCAGCTGTGGGGCACTGCTCTCTGACATCACTAAGCTGGCTCTCTGATCGTGGCTCCCCCCACCCCACGGCAGTGATCAGTTATCTGCAGTGACTTCATGGGAAATGTGCGTGTGTGTGACATTACACAGGAGACCTTCCCATTGTCCCTGTGCTATGGGAGCAGCTCCTTGAATCCTCTGAACCTCATTACTCCGTGTGTAACCCGGACCGAAGCTCAGAGGCTCAGTGACTGCCCCAAGCCCCTGCGTCCATCTGCACCACGGCAGTCACGGCTCCCAGCCCCGTCACATGCTTAGAGGCGTCTGAGGACGAATGAGAAAGAACCAGGCCTGTAGAAACTCCACGATGTCAACTGCTACACGCAAGTCAGTACGGGGTCTGCAGATAGGTAAGTTAATCATTTATTTACATATAGAGAAAAATACTCTACATACTGGATTACAGATTTGCAGCAGAAGTATTTTTACATTTGTATTAAACAGTGCTTAACTGGGTGGCATATCCTTTGATAAAAAGAAATGATTTTTTTTTTATAATTCTCCAAGAAGAAAATAATAAACTTTAATTCATGGTTACATAGTTGGCTGGAAAAATGCCAGTTTGGCCACCAAGTTTTCCTTCCCACCAATCAAAGTGTGAATCCGTTTTTGATATAACTGTGATTTTGTCTCCAGCCTGAAACGTCAGGTCGCCTGGCTGCTGCCCTTCAAAAGAATACAGTGCTGTCACCTCTACCAGTCGGCCAGAGTCACCTGGAACAAGAAAGCGGATTCAAATTAATTATGCTTTCTAGGGAAACCTCCGATTTTCTCCTCTGAGAAGAGCAAATGCTTGGCAGGACCATTTCCCAAATCCTTCTAAGTCAGAACTCCACAATACTCCACACCTAATTACTTAACAAGCATGAGGGTTAGAACTGTCTGGGCCTTGAATAGTTTGTAAGATGACGTCAGGGTACTGTACTTTTCCCCTTAGTCACTGCTAAAGTCCCAAACGTTCCTCCCATGTCTACGCTGAAAGCCTAAGAACCGGGAGACAGCTCGGTGAATGACAGCAATTAGAAAGGAGCTGATCCAATGACTGCATCACCAAGGATTCCATCCAATAAAAGTACAATCTGTACTTTTAGCCGGGCATGCTAGCTGGCAACTGTAGCCCCAGCATTCCAGAGGCTGAGGCAGGAGGGTCACTGGAGCCCAGAAATGCATGGCCAGCCTGCCCAGCACAGCAAGACCCTGTCTCGAAAAGAAAACAGAAACTATGTTCATAAGCCGTTGGTTTTGAAGGCGTAGCTCAGAAATGTTTTGGGGGTTTGGCACACCCTTCTTCTCTCTGTGCTCATCTGTATTCATTTCTGCGCTCGTGTGGGCCTCTCCTCGCACAAGACATGGACTGAAATGGTACAGGGAGATGCAGGTCAGTAACGCTGTGCACGGGAATGCGTGCACCCAGTCTAAGGTATCAGAGAACCGAGTGGCTAATATGGGGAAAGACATTAAATTTACATTGTATAATAACCTCCAAGTATTGAGAAACGGGCACTTTTTAATATACTCAACTACATGGAGCTTGATTATTCTACATTTCATAGAATCTTGTGCATATTAGGCAATTCGATACTGTTACATGCATCTAAAATAGGCACAAAACATAAATAATCAAATCCTGACACCCATTTCCTTTGAACCCCCAATTACCACAATAATAACAAAAAAGGAAATAGATCCATCTGTTAGAAATAAGAATCACTCACATTTGAACTGAACCATGCACGGCCTGGAGCCTCACAAGAGACAGGTCCCATCCCATCCTGGGGTTCTCAAATAACGTCCCTGAACCAACACAACACAACACTCTATAGAGAGCTGCTGGAATAACTAACTGGTTGTCTTCTGTGACAGAGAATGTCTACAGTTTTTACACCTAACGTACTGTATTTCTTTTTCCTGTCAATGTTTTGGGGGGACCAGGGATCGAACTCGGGACCTTGCCCTTGCAACACAGAGCTACATCCCCAGTCCCAACACAGCACTTTTTTGTTTTTGTTTTTTGGTACCAGGGATCGAACTCAGGTCCTTGTGCTTGCGAGGCAGGCTCTGGAACCACTGAGCTAAATCCCCAGCCCTCAACACAGCATTTTTGATGCCACACTCCTAAAGCCAACGTGGACAACACTGAAACTCCCCTGCGGGTTTTCAGAACCTTTAGATTAAAGGGTCTCTGACTCTGAGATGTGTACAAGTCATTTTAAGAAATAAAATTTTTATTTACCAACTCTCTCGTGATAGCCGGAGAGCTCAGGATACAGCTTGTGTTCGCGTCTATCACCTGCAAGAGGGAGGAGGAGCAGGGCAGAGGGGACATTCAGAAAATGCATTAGTACACAGTGAATGGAAAGAAGGAACTTCGAAGATAGCACTCCGTAGCTGTAAGAAAACAGCCAATGGTTGAGAACAGAAGCCGTGGCAAATTACAGCAGTTGTGGATTTGTCTTACAATGGCGAAGAGGCTGAGTGTTTTTCTCTTCAACATCCATTTCTGCTATTTGATTTGAAAGTGTAACAGTGTTTTTTGCTTTAACAATAACATCTAATAGTTACTTCAGTAACATTTAATGGTTACTCAACACTAACACTTAATACTTAATCATAATTATACTTCAATCACAGTACGAACCTTGAGAGCCAGAGTTCAGCTGGAGCGGTGCCGGTGGTTGCTGGAGTCGAGACGCTGGCTTTGGAGGTAATTCTTTAGCCTGTAAGGAAGAAGAACAAATACACCCAGTTATGGAACCTGTCTTTACTTAGGAGCCTGCAACGATTTTGGCTTCTCCTGGGTTTCTGCAGCCAATTTTACCCTGTGCCGTCAGTAATGAGATGTCCTCAGAGCTCACACAGGCTTCGAGCCCCTCACTAGGGCTGGATAGTGGGCTGGACGTGGGCAAGTGAGAGGATGCCTCTCACCCGGGGCTCCTCACCAGGCCCTGCTGGCCGACTGTGGGTACGCAGGGCCGCAGGTGAGGGTGTCCCAGTGGGGAGAGACTGAGACCCCCTCAAACTCTACATTTTGGTTTTCACTCTGAACAACCCAAAAGGGTGTTGTGGGCCAAGGAGGAGGAGGCATACGGAAGCCTCACTCAGGACTCCAGAGCCCAGAGGAGCAGGTGCTCGGGAACACCTGCCTCCATCAACATCCCTGATACTGCAGGGTTGGGCCCCAAGAGAGACGCGACTACAGGAGACAGGCTGCCCTGGAAATATGTACGACATAACCCCAAGGTCGTAAGGCATTTCACAAGGACTTCATGTGGGGCAGAGCACTGTACAGGATAGGACAGGGACCCCACGCCCATGGAAGGACCTTCTGCTGCTCCCGGACTGCTCTCCTCATGTTGATGCGCTGCCCCTCATGCTCATACTTTTCAGTGAACGAATCGAGAATTTCGTAGAGATCTTCTGCCTGAGCCGGCCGTGGCACCTCTCCAAACAAAATGTCATAAGCGCGGATGTCCTGACAGTAAAATCTAGCAACAGAAAGTTAAGAGCAAGGGTCTCTTCTGTAGCTGAGCGTGGCGTGTGTACATATACTTGCAGTCACCCAGGCCTAGCCCCTGCTCGTGCTGCCTAAGGACATGCCTGTGCCGGCTCTGGCTTAGCCCCAGCCCAGCTCCGGAGCAGCGACCAGAATGTCCGGGTGGGATCCTTCCTCAAGACACGCGTGCACACATTCACAGAGCTGCTGCAGAGACACACGGGCAAGCACAGACATTTCCAGAGGTTTTTTTCTTAAGTTCCTTATAGAAATGGCACCACACATAGGACCTTGAAATTTCTTTACAGTGTTTATTTTTATTAAAATTAAATAAGGATTTGCTGTCTATGTTTGGAAGCCCTGCAATTCATGAAGGAGTGTATTTGTTTCAGTTTACCCAGGATCTAGCTGAGCATTAGTGGAAAAGTCTGCCCAAGCCTAGAATCAGGAGTTTTTAAAAGCACTCTTAGGTTATATCGAATTAATCAAAGCAGAAGTAAAAGCCTCACTCCAGATTCTGGAGATGAAAGCTCTGTGAGCCCCAGTTATCATCACTGCCAACATTTTCCAGTCTCTGGTTTCTATTTCTACCTCAAACGTGCTGTTGATTTGTCCAAGGGCCCGGCTGTGACCTTTCCCCAGGTCCTCACCCAACAGTGGCTCTCGCTGCTCTGCACAGCACCCGCAGGCAGCGGTGGAGGAGCCGGCTCGGGCCTCAGCTGTGCCCCTCCGGCCTCACCGGCGCCACTTCTCAGACTTCTTTGGAAAAAGTGCCCCCACCCCAGTTCTCCTTCATCTCTTAAGATTCTTCCAAATCAGTTTTTTTTCGGGGGGTGGAGGGACTGGGGATTGAATTTGGGACCTTGAGCTTGCAAGGCAGGCAGCAGAACCACGGAGCTAAATCCCCGGCTCCTCCAAATCAGTTTTTTAAAAAATCAAACTGAAGCCGGGCGTGGTGGCGCACGCCTATAATCCCAGCACTCCGGAAGCTGAGGCAGGAGGATCGCTGTGAGTTTGAGACCAGCCTGGACTACATAGTGAGTTCTAGGGCAGTCTCAACTACATAGTGAGACCCTGTCTCAAAAAAACCAATAAATAAATAAATAATAAAATCTGCTTATGGATGCTTTTTATGTGTTAAACTGGTTGATGTTGAGAACATAAAGGCAAATACAACTAGGTCCATATGTCATCTGTGCATTTATGTTCTTGGCTAAGAACAGATATAAAAGTTAATTATAAA